AGAACATTAAGGATGCGAAAGTGGCGCATGTTCGTGCAGCTAGTAGTACAGATAAAAAAATAAAAGGTTTAACTGTTCAAGTAAGATATGCATTGTTTTTTTATATGAAATATTATTTATACTTTTACATAATTCTTATTTTTTTCTTTGTTTAAAGATACGAGAACACTTTTACAATGAATTGAAAACAGCATTACTTGAAAATTATCAAAATTTGTGTACAGAAATTAATGAAGAACGGTTTGAAGAGAAAAATGTGCTCTATGTGGCTAATAGTATAGAATATAAAATATTTTCTAGTTCCAAAGTACCAAATAAGTACAAATTTGATATGTCTAGATTGGTATGTAATATTTTCTATAAATATTTTTATATATTATTTTTTATAAATATCTTTTATAATTATTTTTTAAGTTTTTACACACACACACACAGATAATACCAACAGAAATTAAAGGACTCGAATAAATATATGAATTGTTTTAGACTAAATTTTTTTGTATGTAGAACAATGAAATTAATATATTTATTATTATTATTTTAAATATAAATATTTTTTGTTTTATTTGTTTTACTTATACAGATTTCATCAGTACGAAAATGTACTACTAATAATACTGTATATGAAGCAGCGAGTAACTATAATGAGACTGAATTTCGTAACTCCGAATTTGACTATTCTAACAGTATCGACATATCCAATAGTGAACAAATAACAGATACAGTCAAAATAGAATTTACCGGAAATACTTATTTGTCGAGTAATCATAAAGAGACTTTTCCTTCTACTTTTAAAACTGCATCAGAGATTATAAATGAAGAAAGATTACGATTATCTACTTTAGACAAGGATAGAAAGGCTCATTCTTTAGAATTATCTGCTCATAATAGTGCACAAAGAAGTACACCCAAAAATGATAAATTACAGATGCAAATGTCAGGTTTTGTTTGTGCGCGAAAAATTCACGAGGGCAATATGATTAATTCTAGTACAAGTTCTTCTAAGTCAAAAGTTCGTAGAAGCAAGACAGATAAGATTGTAAAAAGAGCAACTAAAACAGTTTACGAGCAGATTTTAGCACAGTCATCAAAAAAGACTATCGAAGAAAGGAAAGATGTTCCTCTTAAAACAGAATTGAAAGTAGATAATGTTAATTCTATTAAAACTAAGAATAAAGTTAAAAGTGAAAGTAAAAATAAAAGGGGCTATGAATACGTTGAATGTCACGAGAATGACATAAAATCTGCTAAGAAAAAAAGAATTGTACATGACGATTATGTCGATAAAACTAATGATAATATATCGGATAAAAATAACGATAAAAAGATTTTAAATGACAAAATCATGAAAATGATTAGAAAAAGTACAGATACAGTTATTAATACTATAAATGATGATTTATCAAGAACGACACAAGAAAAGCATCTCGAAATAAAAACTAATGTGGAATTAAAAAGAAAGGAGGAAACCACACATTTGTCTCGTTCAAAACCTTACAAAAATAGTAGTAACAAACCGAAAGTACCTGCAGATAAAGCTACACAATTTAAAACGGCAGAAATTTTAAAATCGTATTTAATGAAGTACTATCCGTCAGAACGGCTTCCAGATAGGGCGACATTTACGAAAACTTGCAGAGAAATGCATTATAATATGCTACATAAGAAAATATTTGGTACGACGAGCTTAAAAGTTTATAATATAATTTTATAGAATGTTTCGAATTTTAGAACAATTTATAAATAATATCCTTGATTTTAGATAAAGAAGGAATACACGACTTTGTTGTAAATTTTATGAGTCAGTCTTAAATGTGCTTATTTCACGTTTAACGTGCTCCTACTGTCTGCTGATCTGCTGAGTAAGTGATAGGAGTAATATATTGTTTATAATCGATACATTTAATTATGAATAAATGTTTCTATATGTATTTACAAAATATTCATATTGTATTTATTAAATATTTTTTTTATTATATATGGTAAATTGTGTTTATTCATAAAATTAAACAAAAACAAATTTCTTAGGAGTTTTTGTTGAAACATGTGATCATGTGTAAATTCGTAATTAAGACTTTTATTTTAATATTATTTATTTATAAAACGCAAAGACGATATTTTCGGAAAAGAAACAAATTTTGTATAATATCAATATATATATGTACATATATATATTTATACATATATATGTATATATATATATATATATTTCAATAGCTTAGTTATCACACATCTGATTGATCTTATTTTTATTAAATTTATATCTTACTTCATAAATGTAAAAAAGATGCTTTCTCAAAAATTTGTCATACCCGCAAATAATATTACGAAACTTATTCTTATTTCTAAGTATTTTATTAAATATGTGAGCACATTCTTAATTGTAGTTATATTAAATTTATATTTCTATAATGTTTATAATAAATAAGGCAAGATATTTTTCAGAGACAAAATTTCTCGTAGAAAGCTATATTGTTATACTTACATTTATGATCTATACATATATTAAAAAAGACTTGTTTCTTCGTTCCTATAATCTACATTAAAAATGACCTTTGCTCCCTTATGGTGCGTAATTTCCTGGTTTCTTACAAAAAATAAATGTATAAAAAATTTATTTCTTTTTACAAACAATAAAGATACATACGATCTTATCTATATTTTTTAAATTTGTTTTTAGTATTAGAGATATGTATAAAATTGTAGATATAACGTCTTATTGTCAATGCACATTACATATTTAATAATTCACAAATTATTTACATATTTACATTGAAGTAAAAAAATGCAATGCGAAATACATTAGGTATTATTACATAACTATATACTCGTTATGTCACACTACAGAAACAGATAAAAATTATTTCCACTCCGATTTTAGGTGACAAATTGAAACTTCGGCGCATTTATTTTCGTATCATTCGGTCCATAAATTATTAGAATTAATATAGGGCATTTAAAGTGTATATAATCTATGTAGCTACATATCATTTTTAAAAAATTATTATGTATTTTTTCTTTGTATTACCCTTATTTTTCTCATTACTTAGATTTCATTATTTCATGCATATTAAAACATTTTTTAAAAAAAAAGTTATTATATTTTATGTCAAAATGCGCCACAAATAAAATATGACATATCTCATAAACTATTAATTTTTCAATATTTCTACCTTAATACTTTCGTACGCGGAATAGTTAGGAGAATCATATTATAAAAAATATTTTATTTTAAAAAGTGGAGACGACCTCCATATGACCTTTGGAAAAACGATTTTAAAAAGAAATGGTTTTATCATTATTTGTCTTCCTTGAAATGATACAACTTTTGTCTGAATATATTTTTGACGCATACTTTTTGGGATAATAGCTTGTAACACTTTAAATGTCCCATCCTGTATAAGATAATTTATATCAAAAAAAGATGTAAAGTTAAATAATGTACTGAATGATATTGAAGTCGATTTGGTCCTCTCCACACATTTTCACCATGAGATTGCGTTATTGACAATGATGGATCGTTGCCCATGTGGAGAGGAATCCATGATGTAGCCCATGATGTGACATGAGGCCCTATCTGAGATCTCTAGATATACAGAGTAGTTCGCTTTATTAATACTACTACTTGGAATATCTCTATTTTAGAATTCTATCGACTATTATTTGATAATATTATTTGATGGCAAGTTTCTATAGTAAATACTTTCTTCCTAAAACAAGAGAAAAAGTACAAAAAATAAAAAAGATAAATGAATTAAAATAGTTGATTCCAAGCGGTAACATTAAATAGATTAATTTGCATATGGATATTTTACAATACATACGCATTTAAAAAGTAATAATTGATTTCGTCTAAAGAGTTAACATTGTTAAATTTGCTATGATTCTTTTTAATGTAATTCTCTTCATTTTGTTGTTTTTTAACACGTTAAAAATTTATTAAATTATCCCTAGTTCTAAACATACATTATATAATAATTGAGCGATTGTCAATTTAATGTCTGTTAATTGTTTGAAATTTGAGCTTGGCGATTAATGTAGCAATATATTCCTATAATGTCGATATAATATCTTTCACTGTCTCTCTATGTAGGTATCCATATTATAGAATTCCTCTCTATATTATATCATATTTAAGAAAATACTGTTACAAAATATGAGAGCAAAATGGAACAATCACAGACATGATCATTAGCATGTCATGTTATTTACTTACAGTAATTAAAGTTTACTTAGAAATAATGAAGCACCATTGGTATAATATAAATATATGGCGTATCTTTATGTTATAATTTTGTAATTATAATCAGAAAATTTCAGAAATTTCTTTAGAAATGTTTACGCAGATTATACTTTTTTAAAACTAATTCTCAAAAATTCTTATTTATTTTATTTAGAAAAATTAATATAGAAAAGTAAAGAACGAAAGTAAAATAGAAAAAAAATTATGCCGCCATTCCGACTATGCGATTAAAATGAAGTGATTCTGTCCGATTGCATGATTGGAATGATATGAATCAGCGCTTACAATAAGGAAATAGCTTTGATGTAATAGCAACGTTATATGTCTCTTTCTCTTTCCCCTCTTTATTTTATTCTAATTTTATGCAATTTTATTATAATTGTAATGTGTTATAACATTTTTTTTGTCAATCTTTATATGTAATCGATGAAGTTAAATATCTTGATACAAATAGAATGTGTTATTTTTTCATCAAAAAGTTCAAAATTACATTTTTTAAAGACGTTTTTAAATTGTATAAAGAATTTTTTAAAAAGGAAAAATTGAATTTTCTAAGAATTTTTTTTTCTGTAACAAGTAAAATTTTATTACGATGTAGGTAACTTACGTCGTTTGTATAATTATTACATAACATCACGTGAGCTATATTGTGAGTAAGAAAATAGCTTTGTTCAATACTAAAATGTAGACAGACAAATAACATTGCTACTAAAATTGTGTATATTTCTATATTAAGTTTATGCTATATGAGAAACGATTTTCATAAAACTGGTTAATGATGGTTATTGAAAATATGAAGTAACGGAAAATCAAATGCAGATTTCGTAAAGTACTTCCGTTAATTATTAACAATCAGATAATCAAAACTATAAAAATGGAAGTATTTGTATGAATTGATTTCATCAGAAACTAGAGATTAAATCAAATGATGTGACTTTGGATACCCTGACATCACTTAACATGTACGCGGGCATCTAATAATATATAAAGTATTATATAGTATATAAATATAGTAAAATAATATACTTTACTTTATTTGCACATTGTTTCACCAACAACTAATAAGGATAATGGCCAGAAAGCTATTGAAGAAATAATGTATTGTCCCTTCTTATTATAGCTCGATCACTATACCTATAATTACACCATCGTCAGATTCGGATCGCCAGAGGTCAAAAGCGTGCTGTAAACGTCTATGTCTTTCACCTTCGGATCAATTTGCTTGTCCGTCTGTGCCTTTCGTCGCTTCCTTTCCATTTCCAGCCATTCCGATGATGATTTCTTCGTCTGGTGAAACAGTATCCTCATGATGCACCAGACAAGCAACACCGCTCCGGAAAGGAACAGCAAATACATCGATACTTCTGTCAGGATTGGCATGAAGTTCAGGTAAAACCAAAAACGGAGGCTCATATTTAACGGCAGTCCGTACATTCCCTGAAAAGAAAAGATTATATTTTATTATTTTTTACACGTTCCATATAATTTCGCGAAATGAAGAAATCGCTGATGTTGCAAAAAAACAATATACATAGTCCATCCGTATTGACGCTATAAATGCTTTGAGGCATTCTTTAATTAGTTTAATTGATCAATCAAATGTTTCGAAGCATTTGTAGCATTAAGGCTGTACCCATAATTAATACGGAAGTAATTAAAAGTTACTCTTTTGATCCTTTAGAAGACAATTTTAAAAAGTAGAATATTATTAAACTAAATCAATTAACACATGTATGCAATTAAATCAATTAAGTCAACAAAATCAATTAAATCAATTAAATTAGTTCAATTATTAAATTAAATCAATTAAATTTTGCATCGATATTTTCTGTGCTTACAATTTCGAACCACAGTAATGGAATTGTCATATGGGGGAACTTTTCCACCCTAGCCATGTGTCCGATATTCTGTAGAACCATGTTAATTTGGAATCGGGATGCCACATTCATGGGTATCCCGGATTTCGGCTGAATGTAGAAATAAGATTCATGCAATTCCTTATTGGGTTCCAGTCCTTCGATGGCTTCTAGGAACGATGGGTCACTCTTGTAAAAATGTGGATACGACAAGGCAATTGGAAATCCTATATAAAAACAAGGAAAATTTTATAGTACATTAACACAATTTTTATTTGACAGCTCTATTTTGAATACGAAAATTTGCTTGTAAATTGTTGGATTACACGAGACATAAAACATCGACATTTTCGATTCTCCTAAGATGTTTCATGTCGCTCAGTGGAAGCAGTTTACTTTATGATGTAACCAACGTGACATAATTTTATTATCATGAACGCCACTCGATCGTTTGTCACATTTTATCAGATGCATTAAAGACGAACTTTCTGAATCTGCTTGTCGAGGTAAATAATTCTAATCGTATAAATTATCTCTATTTTTTTCCTTTACTCGCGTCCTGAATTGGAATTTGCTAATTTTTATTGCAACATGACCAAAGCAATCGGAATCTCATAACACTTCAATAGAGACAAGTACCGCAACTGTGGTAAATAGTAATGCGACATGAGAATTTTATGATGCATATCGAAATTCCATTCTCTTACAAGTCTATCTCTTATAAAAAACACTCGGCAGTGAAATGACTGAGGCACTTAATAAATTATATAAGAGGCAAGGATGTTAATGATATGTCCTGACCAATTAAATATACATCAAATGTGCATTAAGTATAATAATATATTTATCGGAGAGAAGTTTAATCCGACTTCAATTTGAAACATCTATTATATTAAAGAATAATTTATTGAAATTAACTGACGCACTGATATCTTACCGTAATAACAATCGGTTACATCAATTAAGCCGGGCTTTAGACAGACTCCTTTGCGACAGAAGCATTTATTTTCTGGATTTACTGCTCCGTTATCCAATTCATTCTCCATAAATGTGTATTTGTATGTATTTAAACCTTGAAGCGTTTTTTCTCCAATTCGTACCTTTGGAAGAGATATTATTATAATGTTCTTATAAAAAGAAATTAAAAAATTTTTGTAAATGAGGTACTATCGCGCTTTTACATTTTAAATATTTTATTATTAAAATAATATAAATTTTTTATATTATATTATTAATTACTTATATTTAATAATTGCTAATGTAAAATTTATATTATACTATAAATAAATCCAGTTTTTGATAATAAAGGTTATTTCTGACACTAAAGATATTGAGATAAATATTTAAATATGCTTCTACATAAGTATTTAACGAAAAAAGTAAGTTTAATATTTTAATGGATTTTTAATTTAAAAATCAGCTGTGAAAAAAAAACAATTCTCAACATTATAAATTAAAATGTAGAAATAAAGAAAGACATAAAAAGACAGGTCTTCCTTGAGGAAAGATTGTCGAGTTGTGCTCGAGGGATAGATCCATCAATTGCATAAGAATAATTTACGAGCATTCTATATAAGGGAAGAAAGTCAATAATAGAAGAAATAACATTACACGCGAATCGCGTGACTTGGCAGAAGATTCTTAGTCGAACTGTTTAACCATTTCGCTGCGTGATGTGATTGCAATGATCAAAATTACCATGCGTGCACTTCGACAGAGGCTCTTGCGAAAGAAGAGGATTGTGTCGTTAGGCTCGATGTAGCTCGGAAACTTAACACCGTCGCTCGCGCCTTGCACATTCGCGCATTTACCAGTCCATTGTGGTAAGTTCACGTCCCCATTATACTTATCGATCAAGCCTATCATTCGTAAATCTGTTTCTCCCGTGTAAAACGTCTCAAAATCGCCATCAAAGTCGTACATCTGCAAAGTATAGCAAAAGCAAGATTTTTATTATCATAAGACTTGTATTCCAGATTGAATTTCATTATTAGAACATTATTTAAAAAATTAGAAAAGAAAACGTCTGCGTTAACAAAGGACACAAATTTGAAAAAAAGTATTTATTCGATAGCTAAATGTCTTAAGTCTAGTCGAGTTTTTATACATTTGTAACAAAAAATGGATGTCTTAAGTCTAGTTGAGTTTTTATACATTTGTAACAAAAAATGCAAGTAATTAAATATTTTTTATCTATGTCAAGGAAAAGCTGTGTGTGTGTGTTAACTTTGAAAAAATATATTATTATAAATATTACTTATATATAGTCAATTGTATACCTATCTCATATACTTCAGAAATTGTTGCTTATTCCTTACCCTATCGATTAATCCCAATTTATCGAACTTAATCCAGGAGGGCATTAAATGATTGCCAAGAGTGACGAGAGTCGATTGGTAACCAAACATGAATTCATGTGCGGTCATTTGAACAAGCGGTTTGGTGTCCGTCTGACGGATAAGCATATTAAGACCCCACCTAGATAAGTATGAGGCATCTTTCATGACGTTCGTGATGCTCTGCAATAATAGAAAAACAATGAAAAATGTATAATTAGACAAAAAAATGTATAATATAAACTATTATTTTAATATACTGTTCCATTAAAATAACTAATTCTATTACAATAAGCTTTATGTCATAAGCAATCTAAAATCCTATATTTTAGATTTAAGTTATTAAGAAGATTACGAGTATAATTACTCGTATAATTGTCTTTGAAAGATAACATATAAACATGTGAACTTAGATGTGTTTAGCAAATTATTAGATTGTAAATTATCCGTGATAAATCGTATCCGTTATATATTGCCGGATCAATGACATGTTCCCTATTGACATTTATTGTGTGTCATTATAATATGTTGCTCTTTATCGAATTAAGTGTGACATATCAATAGTCTTCAATAGTGGAAAGAATCAATGTATCGCAATCTACAGACATTCTTCATCCAAGCGATTGCCAGGGTCATTGGCTTTACATTGATAATGCGGCTAACATAAATAATGGCATACATGTAGGAGGTTTAACCAGTTTCAATCTAGCAGTTTGCAAAATCCTAGAATACTTGTTACATATTTTACAATATGCTTTTAAATTGTACTTGAAGTTGCATGCAAAATTTTTGCAATGAAAAATAAGTAAGAATTTAAAATAAAAATAGAATAAAACTAAAAAGTCAATAATTAGATAAAAGGACTGAGGTGATAGTTAGACGGATCTCAGAGCGTAATATAAATTAATGAACAAAATTGATTTAAATTACATAAATTTGAACATTCTAGCTCAATTTCGAATCATCTTTAAATTCACGTATATTTAAAAATAACTTCATAAAAAAATAATGCTAATTTTGTGTTTTGTTAATATTTCAGTAGTATGTATTTTATTGGCAATGTAGCAATTAAACCCTATTATTATTATAAATCATATATTATTGTTAAAAATTTAATAAAAAAAATATTTTTTTGAAAACTTATTACAAAATAAATCTAATAACACAAAAAGATTAATTCTTTCAGAAGATACACAAAAAAAAAACCAAATTTTAATAAATATTTGTTTAAGCAGTTCTAAGTAAATATTTACTAAATGTGTAAAAATATTTATTTATTTGACACAAAATTAATTTGATTAAACTATCATTTTTTTATTAAATAAATATTCATTTACTGTAAGTAGATTGTTTGCTTAGTATTATTCAAAGAAATATTTTAGTAAATTTTTTTCAGTATAAATTTTTAGAAAACTTGTTCTCAAAGTAAAAATTTTAACCGTTAATTAATTATTTGTTTCTTGATAAATATCAATTTTATAAATATAAATTTTAATAGAAATATGAGACAATAATTAAGAATGTTTGTATGTATTATGTTTATATGTTCTGATTATGCCATTAAATTTTCAAGAGACAATATAATTCGGTATAGTAATTAATATCAACAGACAATAGCTACTGCATGCAATAGAAAAGCTGCATATACACGAAACGCTTTCTCTCGTGCGACCTTTTAAACAGATAAGAGTGTGTTTACGGCATATCTATTACTTTTAACTGACGCCTTTACAATTTGCCTGCCCACGAAGAATGTATTGCCTAAGCGTATTCTTCATAAAACACGGTTCACTGCACCTCTTGCGCATTGAACAGCGAATTTAATTAAATGTTGAGATTTCATTTCTTCATAGATGCAATAACTTTAAAGTAATTATCGTACCGGAATAACAGGTGGATTTACATAGTATATAAAATGTAAATAACACTGTAATACAAAATCATTCTGCATCAAAATTTTTGTAAAAAAGTTATAATTTAATTATTTATCTCTTATTTGAAAAGTTCAATCGTTGCAGAGTCATGTTTGTAGAAACGTTTGATTTGAAAATGATTTAACGGTAGCACATGATTTATGATTGCGTGAATTAGTAAGTCTGTTTTTTATTGCTGCACTCTGAACTGGTGCGGTGCAATAAGCTGAAGTGAAACAAACGTATTGTTTCACTTCAACTTATTGCACTGTGTGTACCAGTTCAGAAAATGCAGCAATAAAAAACAAATCTATTGTGACAAAATCTTATATAAATAATTTCTAATTTTATTTAAAATGTATTTATTTTGTTAATTTATCTAATAATTAATTTTACGTTTTTATAAAAAGATACAACACACATTTAATTTATTTAGACCACCCACGGATCGCACAGTCATTCTATTATAAACATCCCTTTTATGTCCATTTTACGTCTACGCGTTTATGGATCCGATTTTGGACATTTATTAATTTGACGTCCAGGATATATATGTACATAGAATAGTCTGTTTTCAGTGTAGTCCAAAGTTGTGACAAATGGATGTCCAATGAACGCCCGGACAACCAAAATCGAGCGTAAGACGTCCATGTACTTTCTGAGTACTATATATATAGGAAATATCTGTTATGATCGTTTTGTACGAACAAATTAATAGATCTTTAAAGCTTTTAATGAAAAAAATAGAGAAAAAATGACTCCCTGATGATATCAATGGCTTTTGATATTTTAGAAATTCTACAAACTCATTGTTGCTTCTGCATGTTTTGAAAAAAACATTTTGCATAAATTGACATAATTATGTAAGAATAATGATTACACACATATCTTAAGAGAAAATTAATTAAGGGATATAAATTTGATTTTTAAATGTAATGTAGATATTTATCGGATTACATTTTTTGTTGCTCGTTCAGTTTTTTTAATTGTGACAAGCTTTATGATTATGATAATGAGAACGCGTCAGATTGTGAGTTTTGCATTTTATACATCTACATATATTTGTTTGCGTAAATCAGCATAAATAAAAATATACTTACAATTAGTTACGCTTTACTGAGCAGTTATTGTTCTAATTAACTTGTATTTATAGCATATAGTATAAGTGTTCACAAGATTGCTTTTTACATACTATTTAGTATTAAATGTTGAGACGATTCTTAGATACATTTTAAGCTTTATATGAAATTTATATAAAATTGTTTTACAATGAGACACGTACGTTTTATGATCTTTAAATATCTACATGTAGTTAAATATGTAGTGTTAAGCTGGAAACACAATAGACACAGGCAATTGGCACAGGCAACAGGGAATAACGAGCCATCCGATCAGAGCTTTGGGGTATAAGTTCGATATTATATCCTAGAGCTTTGATTGGACGGTTCGTTATTCCCTGTTGCTTGTGCCTATTGCCTATGTCTATTGTGTTTCCAGCTTTACGGCTCACTGTATTATTTATTCGGTGAAATATGGAGCACACTTTCATGCGATCTGTTTTGATAATGTTAATAATAAGAACAATGGGTGCATTCTTGCTATTAAGTATATCATTTTTTTACGAAAAAGGAATGTCGAAACGATGTATTGTCCACAAGAATGTATTCATTGTATTCTCATCATTATTTTTATTAAAACAATTAACTTTGGAAATTTATTTAAAAAATTATATTATATAAAAATGACGTTATATTTTCGGAAAACAAATAATTTTGAAATCAATAAAAGAATAATTACCGTCCAAAATGTGATTGAAGTTTGAAATTGGAAATCGCATTATCAGTCTTGTGCAAATATTATTTGCTAATAATAATTTAATTTCACTGAGCTAATATATAAACAGATAATAGTATTTGAAGTCAATGAAACGATTAAATTAATATCGAAATACTGAAAGTTATATTATCAGTTTTACGCAAATATTGTTCATTAATAATAATCAAATTTCTCTTTTAAGGTGACGATGGAAAGGACATTAGCTTGCGTTTCTTTAGCATTGAATGTGTCTTCCTGGCTTTTCACGACTGCTTGAGCGCGCAAAGCAAATGTGACAAGTTTCTCGAGGATGCATCCCGCGAATGGAAATTTTTCGTAAGCGGCACATTCTAGAGAAATTTGCTTCACGTTAAAGAAAATACGTCATATGGAATATTTAATTAATCCGCACGGTAAAATATTATGTAAAATTCACGCGAATCGAGGAGCGCGAGTTCTTATCTCTTGCGTAATATCTGATTGTGAGTTATGTCCATATTGTGTTACAATTCCATTAATTATACGGATATGATACATAATACCATGAAATTAATGTAATCGTTGGATGATTTTGAAGTAGGCATCGATTGCAAACACACATAAATATTTATGAGTAAAAATTCGTCCGCTTAATTTGCGCACTAAATTTGGATTGATCGGCGAAACAATGAAGTTTAACGGAACGCGTTTGTTGAAAGAATGTTACACGGTCTTCTAATTAATAACATAATCATTGCAAAATCATGCGTTATCCGAGAAAACGCGATGTCACATTATATAAGAATGGAATGTACCTATCGTCAATAAACTCGCGCACATAATAAAGTTCTTAAGTCTCTCCGAGAATAGAAGGGTTTTGCGAAACCGATCGTAATTAACGATTTGTTAAAAAATTTACGACGTGCTAGATCGTGTCATATCGAATAAATGAAATGTCGTAGAAATGCCTTGAAGAAGTCCAAGTTTCCATTGAACTTTGGTTGCATCAGCGTGGGTCAGCACTAACTCAGGATCAGAATATACAGACGTGCAGTCGATGACTAAGTTGTTTGATGTTGCAATCGAAATATGTTTTATATTATTATTTTCCGCATATGTAGACTGTTTTTTACGATAACAATACGTGTAGCATTTCGTGGTCCGAATATTTACTAAATTTAATACCTTTATTGCAAAAATATAGCAAGAGATCGATAACGTTGAAAACGTAAGTAACATAAAAAGAAAGGATTTTTATAAATTTGCATACACAACATATATGTATATATATATATGTACAATACATATTTGCATGTATACACATGCATATATGTAGAAGCATACATATTATTAAATTAATTAATAATTAAACTTTATAACGTATTATACAAATATTATGTTAAAAAATATAGCAGGTTGTTTGTATTTAAAGAGATGATACTCTAATTACATCATTGACATAAAGAATGGAACTGATTACAATCTAAAATTACTAAATATGCAATTATAAACAGATGCGGTGAAAATATGAGTTTTTGTTCCTGCATTTATTATTTCATACTTATTGCACTGTTTTTATCTAAGCTATGTTAAGTAATACTCATACGTAAGAGTTTCTTTCATCATGAACTTTATGATCGATATATCGTATTATTTATCTGACTTATAATTCTTTTTATTATGTCTATTGTCACGTCCCGGTTTGCACGCTTATATACACAATGTTGAATAATACTCGATAAATTTTTGAAATTGTTGAATGTGTCGTGAATGTATAAAGCATGTTCCTCGATTAATTATATCCTTTTCGATAATTGGACGTTTCGAATCGCGCGATGCAGAAGATTTTGTTCAGTATCTTATTGATTTATTTGTAATATCTTAAATATTTAACTGTTAATCATCTCTGTAGATAATCAGCTGGAGTTTAATTATTCTTTAATTGCATGTATTAATCACAATCTATGCATCATCTAAAGTCGTGACACATTCTTTTTTTACGATTAGCAATAAATAAATTCTAAAATCTACTCCGTAACGGCATGGCATACAAAAAATTGCAAGCCATAAACTGTAAGAGAATCTCTCTATTGTCACAGTAGAAAACGTAAGGCTATAATATAAGCAGTATAATAAATAAAAAAATATTGATTATTACTTACGTTTTATTGCTTACAAAAATTTGTGATATATAGAAAACTAATTCTCGAAAAATAAAAACATAAATTAAAAAAGATTTAATATCTTGAAAATAATTTGTCTGCGCTCAAAATGAAGTAATATTATATCAGAACAAAACACTCGACATGCTCGCCAAGTTTCATAGAAATGGATGAGGGACAATCATAGCTTCCCCTTTGTTAATCAAACTTAGATAAAAAATTAAAAATTTAAAAATAAAAAAAATATGAATTGGTAACCGCCACGTTCCCGTTTGTGACTCTGAGTTCGGTGCGGTAAGAATACTTACCGTACACAATATCTCTTTTTTTTTTTTCATTTTACTATGTTAATCCATTTATAAATCCTATAATAGGTGTGATTTTTGTAAATTTGTTCATGTTGAATTCGAATCCGCAGCTTATTTCTCCATCATATAACGTGATATATCATATGAGATATTCGAACTTAAAAATGCCCCCGAAATAGGAACTTTATTTTAGAATATTTTGGAAACTTAACATGCTGGAGCAATTTGGGTTATAGATTTGTTTTTAGTATATGAAAAATCTTCGGGATTACATACTGTTATTTCTAGGTCGGTCTGTATTATAAGACGGGATATGTAAGATTTAAAAAAGATCTTGTTTATACTTAATTTAGTATAAGATTATAATATACTTGATACAGTTTGAAATATCGTCTCATTTATCTTATTGTTAGTATATTTACGTGCCCCTGTTAATTTCTAATTAGTTTACTTCAATATACGGAAAGGGAAATAGAAAGTAATTATTGATCTTATCGTACCGTATTTTTCCATTTTTAACAAAACCCACACGTTTCTTAGCGTCAGTGAGCAGTCATTTTTGCACGATCAACAGGTTCGATTATCAAAATGAACGTGCACATTAATCCCATTTCGTACATTCATTCGATAAGATAACTTTTCTGAGGTCTCTCTCTCTCTCTCTCTCTCGCCATATAATTTACGATTTACAAGAGTAATACTTTATTACTTACGAACAGTGCAATGTTTGGCATTATTACGAGATCCTCTTCCGTGCCGTTGCTCATTTCTGGAATATACTTCAGTGGATGCACTGGTATTGCCGATAACGTACCATTGTCATTGAAAACTACATTTGAATGCTCAAATGATTCTCTGCAAGAAGATATAATAATAGAATAACATTAATATTAATAGAACAATATTAATAAAACAATGTAATAACAGAATAATATTAATTATTCATTTGTTATTAGATACATGAAATTATGTGTTTAGAATACGTTCTTTTGCGTCTCATATACATTTTTAAAAAACACTTTGCGGTATAGAAAATCAAGTGTGTCTTTATACAAATAAATTTTTATCGCATAGAAATGCTATTAATAGAAAAATTTAAATATATATATTTATAGGAATTATAGAGACTATATATATAGAAACATATTTGAACATTATATTATTACGCATATAATGGAATAGAGAAATATTATTATAATTTATATAAAGCGAATTTATTTAAATATTGTTAGAATATGAATTCAAAGATTTGAAAAGATTTGGAAGAATTATTTTTGGAACACATAATTTCACAAAATCTGTTTAATTTATAAATTTTATTGTGCTATTTTATGCGATCCTTCTCTTTATATTTCTCTCTTATTAATTTTACAAGCGTGCGTTTACTCTTAACTGAAAGATCAACTGATAATGAATAGGTCTTGAGTTACTTTGATTCAAGAACGATCATATTTCAACGCGTTGCACTCGCCGTTTGGTCAGGTGAGTGAAACGCGTTGTAATGCAAATTTACTTCATTTAAATGCCGAGAATAAAAAACAAGAATACAATTGAATGATTGTCTTGAAAGGATAAGTGATACAGAAAACACGAGTAAACTAGACCGTGTCAATTTATTAATTATTATTTACGAGGTAATTCATTTACTTCTTTCTTGAATGTCTGAGAACGGACGAGAAGGTCCGACCTTCGCTTTCCACAATTATGCAAGAATTTTTATTGTAGGAATATATCATTTCCGCTGGAGTTTTCCATTCTGATAACTCAATTTGTCTTTTTTTTTTTTAATACCTTGCAAGTGACACGTAATTGAATTTGTTTAAGTCATTTAAGTCATTTAAAATCACTTATATCGTATAAATATTTAAAAGAACAAAGATGTCAAAATTATTTCATCACATAATTGAGATGAAAGTAAATAAGTGACGAAACACAGAATTAATGTAATTATGTACATGTAATAATAAGTTGATGCATTAAATGGATCATGTTTTATTCATTTTTTACTCGAACTACAAAACAATAATTTACATAAAGCGCGTTTCTGTAAACAAGATTTAATAAAATTATGCCATTTACTTATACACATAGGGCCCAATTTCTTGAAATCGTAACTTGTTCGCCTCGCCGCTTAGGTACTCGTCGTGGTTTGTTACATTAAACAAGTAGATCTTAACGTAGAGGTCGACATCGGGTTTTCGCCAATACTCAAAAATCTCACCGCCGTCGCCGAAGATTATTTTCCATCTGAAGAGTAATTCATAAGGGTCGCACAGCAGTATGAAGCAACCGCTTGCGAGGCCAAGCAGACTGAGAATTATGAGCATGAAGATATCTGTGGGCAAAAAGGGGAAAGATGTTATCCAAGCGGAATTCATGAGGAATCTGCTGAAATTATAGTGAAGCTATAATCAGATAGCATTCTAACAAGGCTGTTTTCATGCTCTTATTCCTCGTGCTGCCCGTCTACATACTCTGATTTCGTCGTCGTTCTCTTGTGAAATTTCCCATGCGATAAAATTGCTTCCTATGTAACAAGTTTGAGAAGATGCTCGATATTTATGTACTTCTGCATCTGGTAAATAAGAAGTTTGAAAAGATACTTTGCCTTTGTATATTTTATCAATATCTTTAATGATTTTTTGATAATGTACAATATTCATTTGAAGTTATCGACAACAACATAAGTAGATTTTTTGTATTTAACGTTAAAGATCCAAGAAGCTTTACCGTTAAATATTACAATATAGATTCTATGCAATTTCTGTTGAATGTAATTATGAAATTTCCTTTATCCGAGTGTAAGATATTAAATATGTTAAGCTAGCTAGCGTAACGGAGCAGTTGCGAAATATAATTAATTATTTCTGTGAAGTGATTCATTGGGACACAAATATTACTACTTCTTGTATTTTTATACCTTAATTGCATTTACGAATTTACGAGTTCCAACCACAGCATTAATCTTAATAATTTTGATTGCAGATAAAAGGCTTAGATGAATATATTGCAGCAACTTTCACAGATCTTTCGAGATTTCGTAATTTATGCTTGTTGATAGAAATACCTTGCTTTTCTTTGACCGACGAGTCGCAGCATCGTAATTCTTGCAGCGGACATTATTGCGATATTGGAATTACAATGAAGGGTCAATCTATAGTGAACAAATAATCTCTTGATCGTACATATGTTGCGCGATACTCTTTATAACTTTTTGCGAGGATGAAAAACGGTACTCGATCGTTTACGATGGTTCACGATGAATGCAATCAAGCACTTTGAAACTGAGAGATCGACTTTCTGCTTAGCGCACGCGCGTTATTTTATCTTCAACATAGACAAAGCTGATGTCAATTTGCTCTTATGTAATAATCAATGTCTTAATATAACTAAAGTTGCATATTAGTTATTTATAATAATTGTTAAAACTTATCAATAAACATTTATAGCTATGCCATAGCCTCTTATTTTTATTATTTTGATTTTTAATTTATTTAAGCCTTGTTATTGTTTTTTCTTTTTGATAATTTATGTGTATAAACGCCTTTAGAAGAATACTTGAGACTAAATTTTAAATATAAATTTTAATTAAACTAATAAATTCCATGTTTTTAATTTTTCTTATTGATAAAATTTGGAAGCTCTGCATATTGTTTTTTTTTATTTTAATATGAATTCACACATTTTTAAAACATTATTCCAAAAAAAATAAGCAATTGATTTATTATAGAGACAAATCAGTTTTTTATTTAATCTAATAATCTAGTATTTCTTTATACACAATGACCTGTAATTTAATGATCAGAATAAAGAATATTAAATTTAAAAGGAAAATTAAAGTTTACGAATTGTTTACATTGATTTTAAATAATTTTATTTCTATTATTTCTGTTTTAATATAATAAATAACAGTAAGATTAAAGCTAATAAAAGTCAGTGCAAAAATGGGTGCGCATAAATCAGAATTCACAATACGTCAGAATCTGCTACAGTTTTGGGAACCTGAAAGTGATTCATTATGGACAGATCGTTTAAACAATATTGAGCGTGAATATATGTAACTTTGCCGAAGATAATTCCAAAGAGAATGGAAATGTTCAAAAATTCGTAATAAAACATCATTTATTATTATGAATTATTTTATTATTTATTATTATGAATTAATATTTATGCGCATCCATTTCCGCGCTGACTCTCATTAGCCTTAATCTTATTGTTATATTAGTTTAAAAATTGAGAGTCCGATTTAAATTATCTATAATTTTCCTGTTTTAATGTTACTGTTGTATTTTTTAAGATACTTTTTAAGAATAGTGAAATTATTAAATCTAAATAAATATTTTTTAACAATTATATTATTAATTATTCTATTCTGATATTTGTACATATATTTGTTTATTGTGTGTAACTGTTTACGCTAAGGCAGTACTATGCAAATTGCGTACTACGCAAATCCTTGGAGTACTAAATTTATTACGTCAATGTTAAGCATATCTGCGAATATCTGCGTATTATTATGATATCATATATAACTGCGGAAAACGATGCTAGAAAAAACCTTGGATCTTTAAGATTAGATACGGAAACTTTTATTTTGCTTCCGATATTTTTTCAGCGATGATGAATTGTTACTTTTTCGCATGAATAATTTGTAGTTTAACGCAAAACCACTCTGTCATCAGGTTTAATGTACGGTTTCCTCTATATAACGTTCATGCGGTAGTTTATTTCATGTTGTTTGAATTTTATGATTATAGCATTCTTGCTCGCTAATACTGCATTATACGTACGTAATATTACAGCATTATATGTTCTGTTTTAGTTAATAGTAAGATTTTTCTCGCACACAAATTGATTTTTTTTCGCGAGCATAAAAAACATCTCGCGATTTTTTAGTTCCTTTTTTTACTGAAAATTGTAGTTTTATTATATGAATGAAAATGCCAATCAGAGCCAACACTAATTGTAAGTGTTGTAAATTAAAATTCTTTAATAAAATTTAAATTTAAGATGTTTTGACCACTTTTAGGTCATCTTCAATAATTGATAAATAATGTGGTCGAATTTAAATGGAAGTTGAAGTACCTAATTATCGCAGTCAGATATAATATAATAAAGAAAGTCACGCTGAGATTATACTTTTATTTATATTTATATTCTCTACAACCTTTTATTTTTCTTATTTTATTATTTATTGCTTAAAATTTAGTTTTAGAAAACCTTCGTTTCATCATTCATTAATTATTATAAAAAATATTAGCACATGAAGAATTAATTTTGATCTGATTATATAATAAAACATTATAGCCTTTTCATTATTTATGTAGCTATCAATATCGTAAAATCTCTCTAAAATCCCATTAACATTAATTAAACAGCCAAAAAATGACTAATCAAATCCGTGTTAAAAATCTCGTTATAAAAAATACTTCGTTATATGATTGCGTTATATGATTGCGAGACAACAATTTACAACGAGATAATTTATACAAATTTACAATGTACAAAGTACATTGAAATAAAAGATAGAGATAATACAAAGTACATTGAAATAAAAAGTAGAAATAAAAAATTGTAACGCTAACGTCTGCGATTATTATTGCAATATTTGTAATTGATATAACCATGTATTATATGTCGAATCCTCGTACTATTATAGTATTAGATTAATGATTATAAGCGACATTTTTTTCAGTCAAATGATAGTCTGAATGACAATTGAGAGCGCATATCGCGGCGCTAATCTCTTTTTCCCCTCAACGAACTCAATGACGCGCAACGACTGTGCTACCGTAACAGTTAAGTAATAAGTAATTCTCTCGTGGATCACGCCCAAGATATGCCGACGTATATAATGAGAGAGGAAGTATCATGGGAAAGAATTATTCGCGCGTTTGTTTGCGAAGGATATCGTGCATTGCTCGATATTTATCAAAGGATTAAGGATTATGTCATTGTACCCACGCATCCATTATTTCCATGCAAATGAGCTTTAGATTTTAATAGATAAGAATAAAAAAACAAGACTTTTTTATGTAAGTTCTTTGAAATGGTTACAATCATTGTTACAAATGCGCATTATCTAAAACGTATTATATACGCATATTTATATATGTATATTAATATTAATTAAACAGCTGAAAAATATATGCATATATAACAAAGTAAGTTCTTTTTGATGGAAAGTCAGAGTTGGAAAAGTTACTTTTGTAACAGAAATTGAATACGAGTTCAGGTGTATTCCTTATATTTATCGTTTGCTCCAATTTTATTATTTTTTATACTCAATTTCTATAACAAATACATATAAAGTAACCTATAAAAAGTAACTTATAAGTAACTTATAAAGTAACTTTCCAACCCTGAAAAGTATACAATTTAGAATAAAATTTCTGATTTAAATAATATTAAAATTATTTAATGTTATTTAATAATCATTAAGTTATAATCTTAATTTTAATTGTTACGTTAATATTCTTTGATAGTTATAAAAATTAATCAAGAAATCGAAGAGTTCCTTCCTCAAACAGTTAAGCTGCGTTCGGTAGATATTTGTGTAAGTCATAACTAAAAATTGCAATTAAAGAGCGAAAGTTTTTAATAGTGCATCGCGATTAAGCTATAAATGTCTACGTGTTCGCACATATGTCATGTTACCATAGTTGCTCAGGTAGAAAAGGCATAGAAAAGGCGTTCTGCTCTCTCGCCTATTGCAAGATCGCTGGCAACGTACGGTTGTGTCGTAATAATTTTCCGGTGGTAATCGAGACGCGACTGCAAATGCATGATCAAATAGAAAGCGCATAGTTACGCCGTGGTTCCTCTATTCTACATTGTTTTACACTTAGTATGTACCACATACACAGTAATTATGTCTGAATGTGTGAGACTCGTCGCTCAGCACTTTGTCAGTTTTTTGCATCAATGATGTTACAGGCTGAAAATTTGACATGAAGCACTATTGAGGAAGAAAATATGACAAGGATTGATTCAATAAAAATATCGACAGCTCATAAATGTCAGCTTCTATCTGCAATTATTTAAGAATTATCATTTAATTAACCACGTTAGTTATTCTGTAATTGTTCATTAAGAGTGAATAAGAAGTATGTAAATCAGGTAATAAACTCTTTCCGGCAATTCTCTGCCGATTCGCAATGATGTTTTGATTTTGCGTAACATGAGTATAGTCATCGGTAGTTTACTTCTTCGTGGTTTTCACTGCGACGAGACATAATCTGAGAAAGCGACGCGAGTTTCTCCCGTGCATTTTACTCGTTGTTGCCTCACATTGCCATTTGCAATGAAAATCAATTTGATAATTCTACAGAGTTA